CACAGGCATACAAATGCTCATAGTACATGTAGCATACTGTAAGTGTGTGTGTGCATGCTCGTCGCGAAAACATTTTCATTATGCGCACCAACGCCTTCATACCCTTCCCACAAATAATAACGAAAACGCATGGCAAACGGTTTGAAAAGTTCGGTATACTCTTCACACATAAGGGTAGGCATGGGCTCTCGCTGCGAAGAAATTTCAATTTGTGAGCGCTGCTTGTGCTCACATGCATACATACATATACATATTTGAGAGAGCAGAGAGCATCGTGAGAGAGAGAGAGCAAGGGAAACATTCAGCGCAGAGGGATCCTTTGTTCAACAGTCGACCATCTCGGTCGAGCCCATGAAGTGAAATGATTGTGCTTTCGTATGTTTTCGTAGCTCGAACCCAAAAAGTGAAGAGCCGAGCAAATACGAAGTGTCTGGGAGATAACTCCCGAAAAAAAGTGTGCAAAACGCTTTACACTACTTGTCCGGTCTATGTGTTCTCTGGTTAGTGCTTTAACAAAACTAAAAGTCGTGTCGGAATGAAGTTGCAAAGTTTATTATTAATATGCGCGCTTTTTGGCGCCGCCGTTGCTAGCGAAACCCCCAAAGTGAAAATCGGCGTTAAGAAGCGTGTGGAAAACTGCACGCGAAAAGCCAAAGGCGGCGACTTAATTCATGTGCACTACAAGGTAACAATGCATAGGATTTGCCGGACACGACAGTTTTAGTTGTTTAATTAATCCATATGAATGCTCAGAGTTTCATAAAGTTAAATAGAGTTTGTCAATGCCATTTTACATGCTGTGAGCAAACTGTCTAAAACTCAGTTGTAAAGACCCCCGCCACAGATAATTTTAATAGACATAAATATACATACATACTTATCGTGCAATCCAGCTACAGTTTGAGAGTCACTGCACCTGGGGTTATATTTTGAGAGATTAGAAGAGAGCTTTTAAGCACTTAATGTGATTGACATATTTATTAATAGATTACATTTGGCTCCGCAGGGCACTCTACAAGATGGCACCGAATTCGATAGTAGCTACAACCGTGGTAAGCCCTTCTCCTTCACCCTGGGCGCTCGCCAAGTGATCAAGGGCTGGGATCAGGGTCTCTTGGGCATGTGCGAGGGCGAACGTCGCACCCTGACCATACCGCCAGAGCTGGGCTATGGCGCCAGTGGTGCAGGCGGTGGCAAAATACCGCCCAACTCAGTGCTAGTATTCGACGTGGAGATGATGAAGATTGACGCGAAGAATAGCGGGGATGAACTGTAAATCAAAATAAGTAATATTTATAAATGTACAACAACAGTGTGTTAATAAAAACAAAATATATATTTAAAGCAAATTCTTGTAAACATAAACTAAGCGGTTGCTGTGTGGCTGTTGTTAGCGTTGGGCCGCTCCTCCACCTCGTCGAAGTGACGTCGCATCATGCGATGCTTCTCCAAGGCGGTTCCCTGTATAAAACGCTCGCCACAGGTGCCACATATGAAGGGGCACTCGCCCGTGTGCTGCTGCAGATGGAGTTTCAGATCCTTCGCCTGGCGATAGCTCTTGTCGCAGTAGGTGCACTTGTGTGGCTTCAATCCGCTGTGCGTCAACATGTGTCGCTTTAGCTTGTCGGACCGGGCGAAATCCTTGCCACAGACCGTGCAATGGAAGGGCTTCTCGCCCGTGTGCATTCGCCGATGAGACATCATTTCCGAGTGCCGCGGGAAGGCCATTTCACATAGATCACATTTGAACGGCTTCTCGCCCGTATGCCGACGCATATGGGTGACCAGTGTCGCCGCCGACTGGGTTTCCCGACCGCAGAGCGAGCAGAGGAACTTCTTGATGGCCTCCTTACGCTTCCGATCCCCATTGATGTGCACATCGCGAATGTGATTGTTGAGGCGCGCCTTCATCTGGTACGTGCGATCGCAGTGCGGACACTGCAGCAGCTGCACATCCTCGGCCGCAATAGCGGGATTAGCCGCCACAGCTGACAGCTGATCTGCGCTGGCTGCATCGCTAATGGCGGCCGCAGGAGCCGACTGCGGATCAATGCTGCCATGCTGCAGCAACATGTGCTGCTGCAGATTCTCTGGCCACATGAATTTGTAGCTGCATTTACTGCACGCCAGCTTCTTCTCGGCGCTTTGACACTGCGATTGCTTGTGCTGATCCATGATGCTCTGGGATGTAGGGAAACAAAGAGCTCAGAATCTCATCTAGACAACAGGTAAGATCATATCTCTCACCTTACACACACACTTGAATATGCAGAACTCGCATTCGTGCGGCATTTTGTCGAACCGATGCATCGCTCGCTGGTGCTGGATCATCTCGTATTTCCGCTTGCACTGCACTTTGCACAGCTCGCACACGTAGACGGGTCGCGCGCTTGGCGAGCCCCTCGCCTGCTGTATTTGCAGCTCATCCTCCGTTTCAGAATCGCCCAATTGCAATTCGTACCCGGATTCGTTTGTAATCGAGTAGTTTTGCAACGAATCGTAGTTCTGGTGCAGCGACAAGGCCAGCTTAAGCTCCAGCTGGATGTGCGCTCGCAGGTCACAGATGCGTTCAAAGTGGAGGTTACAAATCTTGCAGGTGATGCGCTTAACGCCGTTTGGTTTCGCGGTGGCTGCAATTAGCGTCTCGGCGAGCGGTATATCCTGCTCTCGTATACCATGACGCTTCAGATGCTTCACCAAATAATCACGTCGATAGAACTTGCGGGTACACCATTGGCACGGTATGAGTTTCGATTCCTCCGCATGCACGCTGAGCATGTGTACGGTGAGGGATTTCTTCTTGTCGAACACACGCTTACAATCGTTGCACTCATAGGTTTGATTCTGGGGAAGGAAGTCAATATGGTTTACATATATGGAGTATATAGATCAATATAAAACCTTGCAGAAATAGCAGATCGATTAATGTATTTCCTCAACTATGCTTGATTACTCTACACATATCTCATATCTGCTATGTTTGCATGGTAATTTTAATCTTATATCTCTTACAATAATTCGGTGTTCACGTATATGCGCCTTTAGATTGTGACGCCAGCGGAAGCGCAGCGGACATCTGTGGCAGAGGAAACGTTTCTGAGCATTTTTGCACTGCAGCTCGTTGTGTTGTCGCAGCAGCTGCAGGCTAACAAAGCGCGCATCACAGCGTCCGCAGACATGCGGCGCATCCAGCCAGGCGTGCGCCAGACGTTGATGATCAAAGAGCTGGTATTTACGTTGGTAGCGTTCGTTGCACAGTTCACAGGTGTACTTGGCTTTGGGTATGTTGCGCTTCAGCTGCTGCTCATCGACATCCCGCTCAGCATCGCTTTCTGTCTCGGAGCTATCCAGGTCCATTTCATAGCCCGACTGATTGGTAATGGAATAGAAACGTTGATAAATGCCGGCATCCAGGTCTTTGCGTATGAGCGCTTTTAGCTGCTCCACGCTGATATGCTTGGCATCTGGATAGAAGAGCTCGGCCAGCTCGTGCGGCTGCATATTGGAGCGTGCACCGAATCCAACGATATCCGGATGCTGTTCGAGATGACGTCGCAGATCCGCTATCTTATCGTATTGACTCTGGCAAATCATACACTCGATTAGCTTATAGCCATGTGGCTTGCACATGTTTAAATCTATATCCTTGGCCTTTTTACTTTCGCCCAGATTCGCCGACCGTTTTGAGTCCCGATGCACCTTCAAATGCGACTGCAGAGCCTCTCGATGACTGAATTTGCGTATGCAATAAGAGCAGGAAAACCAATCGGTCTTTGACTTATGCGCCCGTGTTGCATGCTGCTTCAGATATTCCGGTCGTTTGAAAATCTTGGGGCATTCGGTACACTTGAAAATGGAACGCTTTACAGAGCGAATTGTTCCAGTTTGCTTCCACTTGCGTGCGCGCTGTTGCAAAGGCAAATCATCAAGGGATCTGTAAATAAAAGCATTAATTAATAATTAATAATAATAATAATATAAGTTTAATATATATACTCTTCATCTTCAATATCAGCTTTATATTCTTGTGGCTCTTGTGTATTTGGAGTGCGGCCGGCGGTTGGCTCCACCTCCTGTTTTACTGGCTCGAGCATGTTAAGCGGATCATTGGACTTTTTGTTATCCAGCTCCAAGTCCATATCGTTGGCATTTTGTACTGTTGTGAACTCTGGCAGTTCTGTGCAGGTGATATCATTCTCAGCCTCCTCCTCCTCTGTTTCCATTTTGATCTGCATTTATATACATAAATATGTGAATACCCATTTTTAGTTGCGACTTGACGGTGATAAACCTCCACATGTTGCTCGGCACACAGCTCCATGGGCGCCTCCTGCAAACAGTCGTTGACTGTAGTTTTATTGCTCTCCAGGCGGTCCACATGATTCATCAGGAGCTCATTTGCTGCCAGCGCCTGCTTCACATAATAATAGGCTCCTATTAGCTTTCTCGCACAATTACCACACAGACATTGTGGCAGCTGTTGCGCTAATGTTTCATCCAACTGCAATACATACAATTTTTGATTAGAAGCAATATATATTTATGGGAAAACTTACTTCAATGTGCGTTAGTTCAGCTAAAATATCGGAGAGCTGTTTATCCGGAAATCGTTTTGTGGATGTAGCCAGCTTGTATAGTTTATCCGTGTCTCTTGCATCGCATGTGCGACACATGACGGGTAGCTTCATTATGTTGAAGTTTTAATAATTCTTAACACATTTACAAAACAAAACATAACACAACAAAAATTTGCATGTCCTGTTAATTTACTAAATACAGAGCAGTGCAACTGTGATGACACAAGCACAGGCACGAAAGAACGATTGCAAATCGATAAGTCACGTGATATCGTATCACATATCGGTAACATCAAGACATGAATGATTTTTGTATGTCATTCGTCTGACATATTAGAAGTTTTAGTTTTAAGGAGCTTTGCCAAAACAATTTCTTCAATACACCAGATTGACAAGCGAAAAGTAAGTAAACAATTTTGCCAATTATTTAAGACAAGTTTATTTGTTCTTATTAGGTAGTGTGAGTGTGCTTATTTATTGCTTCATCATTACCTATCTAGACCTAGAATATTGCAAATAAAAAACTTCTTCGCCCGCTTTAATATTGTTTTCTGTGTATATTAAAAAAATCTGATATAATTTGTAAACTACTTTTTAGCCGTGCTCTAACTTTTCTTCTTATAAATAAAGTGGAGTGTTGTCTTATGAAAATGAGAAATGAAAATAAAAAGTATCCTCTTGAAAAATCAGATACCACGCGAACGTACGTCCTGCACATCTAGTATTTCTTAATAGTTTTCCTAATTAAGGCCAGACGCTGTTTATGCGCTTCGGTGACTGCAGCACGTTTATACGGACGCAGCTCATCCGTGCCGAAGCCTGGTATCCACATATTATATTTCCGCTCGAAATGCAGCTGTACATCACGCACCTCGATCTTATTTGATTTGCGATGTTTGGCAAATGCGCTCGTCGATTTCACGGTATCTTCAACAAAGTCATCGATGATCTGCAGCAACAGTTCCTCAACATCCTCATCCAGCTGCGTGGTGGTGTCCACTTCGCGGACCAGTTCTGTGAGTCGCGGCTTGGTTAACATCTACAATAGAGTAAATAAGGAATTATATGTATGCATATATGTATATTTATATATTTGTACAGTGGTTGGGTTTGTGCTTACAGGTGTATTCTCTGCGCCCGTTGCTGCACTGTGGCTTGTGCTCTTATTACCACTAGCCCCTGCACCACCGCCACTACCACCACTACCACCACCACCAACACCAGCAGCAGAGGCTGATTGAGCCGCTGTTGCGCCACCGTTCTGTGTGGACGAGGAATTACTGTTGTTGTTGTTTGTCATGGGGCTGTGCTGTGAGGGCGATGCCATTGGTGTGTCGTGTTGCCCGCTGTTGCTATCGAGAGTGGTAAAAAGATCCGACATTGCGTTTTCGATAGTTTGATTTTTTAATAGATACAAATTTTGTTTTCTCTTTCTTAAATACTCTACTTAGGCAATGGGATTTAGAATTTGGAAAGAGATGAAACCAAAGCGTTGCAGTTGTGTATCGTTGTTGTTGAATGTTGTGTACTGTAATTAGTGTGTATAAGTGCTTGATTTGTGTGAGAGATAGTTTTAATTGCAAAATAAAGGTATACAAAAACAGAGTATAATTTGTATAATGCCAAACATTTTACATTTACTTCATTTATATATTTGTGTGCTTGCGTCTACATAGCCATTAAGTACATTAACAATAAAACACTTACTATTCGACTAATTTATTTGATTTTTTATAATTAAACTGTAAATTTATTAAGAACAACAAAACAACAAGTACATCTGTCTTGCAGGGTGTTGTAAAACAACCAAACATTGCTAAATCAGTATTAGTGTTGGTAGACTCTGTCTGATAACTATACGATACTATGCTGCCATACATCGATTATAAGATATATAATAACACAAAATAAGAACACATTATTATATTGCTCCAGTTAGCACAGTATTTTTCTTCACCATTTTTATTAATGTACCACAAATATTTATTATAATTATAATTTATTGACATAAAGTTGTCACTTCTTAGTAATCGATAACTAATGCAAGCTAGTCTTATCGAATATTGTGAAATCGAAACGAAGTTCATTGTCTTGAGTTCAAAGAAGTTTAAATTACGCATCATTTAGTAAAACGTATATATAATACGTACTTTAAATTCAGTCAAAGGCGAACAGAGAGGTTAGTCAAAATGTCAACGGAGGCGGCAACACTCACTCCAGATATCAAGGACACAAGTGAAAATGCAGAAAGCGCTGACGTCAATAATGAGGATTATGTGGACATGACTTTTACCAAGGAAGTGCGTCAAGCGACAAAGGATGTGCACAAGTTAACGGATGTATTGGTCAATGCTAAATTTGCAATTGGTAAATGATTGCCAAGATATAAAAAACAAAAGTTCTTTATTCAATCATATTTCTGCAGCTCTATCTGATGATGAGGTCTGGTACGATGGCCTTTTGGTCTTCTATGAATTATATAAATTTTTTGAAACGCATTTGCCAGAAAGTCTACTACCCAAAGAGTTGCATCGTGTCGCTGCGTTTGAACGTGATTTTGCTTATTTCTATGGCGCCGATTGGAAGAATTCCTATGAGCCGCGTCCAGCTGTCAAGGAATATTTGGCGCACCTGGAAAAGGTGGCGGCCAAAAGTCAGGTGCTACTCTTTGCCTTTGCTTTTCAAATGTACATGGCCTTGATGTCTGGCGGGCAGCTGTTGCAAAAGAAGCGCATGATCGCACGCAAGCTCTGGATCTTTCCCAAAGACAACGCCGAACAGGAGGAGCAGCAAAAGCAAGCCGAAGCGGATGCTGCCGCGGCAACAGCCAAAGCAGCAGCCACCGCTGCAGACGATGGCATTACTGAAAACGATCTTCGTGCACGGCCGATGCCGGTGCAGGTAACTATCTCCCAAGTGGGTTGCGAGGCGACATATTTTCCTGTCCGTATAGCCACACTGAAAATCAAGCTGCGTCGCATTTTCAACGAAGTCTATGGTAAACTGAATGAAGAGGAGCGTGCCGAGTACATTGAAGAGAGTCGCAACGTCTTTCGCATGAATATTAAATTGTTGCGCACAGTCAAAGGCGTGAATCGTGCTAATCTGAAGAAATTAGCCATAGCCGTTGTTTTTATAGCCGGTATTTATGTGGCTATCAAATTAGCTGTGAAGTGATATGTTGTTTTAAAATGTGTTTTTAATGTTACATTTAATCTTAGTACACTTATGGTATATATGTTTGTTCGAAGCCAAAGGTAATAAAATTTAACGTTAGTTAATCTTATATATCCAATAGACCGCGCCTATTTATCCACGGCATCAGAAGCTCAAAGTGCTTTTTGTAGGTTTCGCTGCTATATAGCTGATCACATAATGCATCGATTGCTGAGCCATCTTTGTCAATTAGATCGGTATCTAGTTCCTCAATGGGATCCCTCAGACATAGAGACAAGGGGCCAATCACAGTGCCAGCAGCTGAAATACAAAATTGTTAACAACAGGAATAATATCAACCTAGTTGAGTACTTGCCATGTATGGGATGTTTTTGTAAAATTATTTGCAATTCCTTCAAATTGGGAACAAAGCCCGTATATTTTAGTAATTGAACGCTTTCTATTAAATTCTCATGATAGTATCTGATTAGATAGTCGAATTGCTCGATTTTTAAATTCAATTCTGGCGAAGTCATCAAGAAAAAGTAAAGATCTTGTGCAGGATTGCCATATTTTGTCACTTGATGATCTATTAAATAGACCTCTTTCACTCTGCCTTCCTGATCATGCTGGAACATCACATTGTTTATCCACAAATCTCCATGATTTAACACATTAAACTCCAGTTCATCCACCTTCGCATCCTCAATGCATCTGTCAATGTAGACATTGCAGTAGGCTTCCTATTCAAAGAAGTTTATTTTTGAATTTATAGTTATTATTATTATACATTTGTGATTTACCAATTTATGGGCATATTCCTCAACACCCTTGAAGTTATGTTTCATTCTACCAAAACTCTCTCCGATGGATTCGTAGAGCTTCTGGAAAATTTTCCGTGAGTTTTCGCAAATCTTTCCATCGTTGTATTTGGATGGATAGGGTCCATTCTGCTCCTTGTATTTAAGGGAGGCAGCATGCCACTGAGCAAGTTTCTTTAGTACAGATTTGGTATGGTCCAAGTCAAGGCCTTGTCTGCGATCCGCCATCTTAAATCCAATCCTCCGAAGATCTTCCATTAGTAAGTAGCTTTGCTTGATTGCCTTGTTGAATCTGTAGCTCCTGGGACTAAACCGAATCGAGTGACCCGCTTCCGTGTATAGCTGCTCAAAGGCTGGCACGTATTTTCCATACACCTCCAACTCCTTAGGAAAATAGTTGGCGATCTCACTATCCGCCTGTATTTTCAGCACGAAATCAAAGTTCTTAGTACTTTTGTCTAAGAAGTAGTTGGACTTAATTTTGGTTATTGTGTACACTTTATGTCAGAGTTACCTTTCAGCTGTACTTCTATATTCACTTTGAGCAGCGAGTCGCCATAATTGTCCCCTGGTTTGGTTGCTGTCGTTGAGGTGCCTCCAACAATCTTTTCGAATTCGGGCTCTTGAGCGACAATTAACTCTGCAAAATCTTGACTATTCAACCAATCCAGACCAAAGTCCTCTTTGGATTTGTTTTGCTCAACTGGGACGATTGATGGTGCAGCTGTGACTGGCAGGGTCTGTGGTGGCTCGCTAAAAAGAACATAATTAGTCTGATTTAAGCACTGATTAGGTAGAGCCTAACTTACTAGATCTCCAATAAACCCCGATTGTCCAGCCATTGCAGAATCTGTTCAATGCAATGCTGGTATCGCTTGTTCGTGTACATTTGCTTCTTGAAGTTTGCTCCTGCCTCACTGTCACCAAAGAAGTTATCGAACGTGGCCGACTCCGTTGGATCGAGGAGCACCACAGGCAGCACCAAATAGCAGGCCATTATGGACCAGCAGCCATATTTATAGGTCTCCATTTGCAGCTCCACCAACTTGGGCACACGCTCCTTATAGTCGAGCAGCTTGAGATGTTCAACCAGTTGATCGTGATAGTATTTTATGAAGTAGTCAAAGTAAGTTAGCTTGTAATTCATGTCCACTGAGGTCATAATAAAATATAGAAGATCTGAGGCAGGATGGGCATATCTGGGATTCTGGAAATCCACAAAAAGCATATCCTTCAGATTTCCAGCCTGATCGAACTTGAAAAGTAAATTGTTGACCCAACAGTCTCCATGGTTGATGACATTAAACTCATGAGGTTTTGCCATTCCCAGAGATATAAAATTTACACGCATTTTTTCAAAATACGTTGCCTGAAAGCAAATGTAAGTATGCTAAGATAAGTGACTTCCAAATCATTATAAGTGATTTTATTACCAATTTCTTATGATATTTATACCCGTCTTTATAGGTCTTTACATTCTCAAGGAAAACTTTCTGCGTAGACGCTAACATAGTGTTCAACATGTCCATAGCCTTTTGAACATCTGATCCAAACATGCCATACATAATACTATCTGTGTATGGTCCATGAATGCTTTTGTAGACAGCGCTTGCGGCGTGATATTGAGCTAGTTTTCGAAGCACCAGCTCGGCCTGTTCTACGTTGAGGCCCTTTACGCGATTCACGTTCTTATATCCATCCTGACCCAGGTCGTACATGAGAACGGTGTTTTTGAGTTTGGGCTCGATCTTGACGCCTTCATTGAATCTGTAGGCGCGGGGTGCAAGGGTTATATCTAAACCTTTCGACTTGTAGAGCTCCTCGAATTTCGGTATCAGATCTATGTAGACCTCATTCTCAACGTCGAAGAAATTAGCCACTTTCAGCATTTCTTGCATTTGAACAGAGTCGTGCGGTACTTTCATCATAAACGAAACTGGTTTTATCGTCTTATCTGGTTGAGAAGTAAAACAGAAACTATACATTATAATATCGGATAAGGGATCCTCTTTTAACGCTTGTTGCTTTGCTTGTTTATCTATTCTGACTTGTAGGATAAAAAATAAATTTTCCCGGCCTCTGCAGCCACTTTAAAACTTATTGGTGCTTAAATAAATATGGTGACGACTCTGTTGATATTATGAGTATTGCAAATAACTTTATATCAAACTAATAAACGCAAAACGTGATTGATGAATATTTAAATACATATGTACATACATGCCTGATTTATCTATTGTATCAGCATAGCTCGCAAATGAGTGTTCATCGGGTTTTCTTAAATGCTCTGCTTCGTAACATAGCCGAAAAGATTATGCCGACCGATTCGCTCTGAGCGGCTCTCTTTGTTTTGTTTAGAATCGGTTTCTGTCAAGCGCTTCGCATTGACTCATTCGTGTGACGTTCTCAAATGAGTGTCGCGTAAAGAGTATTACGATTTTCGCTCCCACAAAGACTCTCAGCAAAAGACAATTTGACTAAAGAACTCATCAGAAATGATCTTTGTCTTCGTGTGCATAAAAACATACATGGTATACATTCCAAAAGAACGAAACAATCGCGTGTGATTACCCATACATACGCAAAAGACATTTGCCGCTCGTTTGCTTACTCAATATTGTCTTGCTTTTGGTACACTTAGTCGACTTGTTCGATCTTGTATCCAATAAATGATCTCGACAATAGAACTGGCTTTGATGCCAGCAGTTAATTTGTCAATGATCGAAGGCAGTAGTCTGGATTATCTATTTCATAACGCTGCTCAATATTGCGCTCTATAAAACAACTTCAAATGAGAGGAAAAAGATCAAAACCGTGTGACTTTCTCC